TTGCTGATGCACCGGGGGGGGTGTCAACATGGTGGGATTTCTAGGAAATCATATACATAGAAACAATGTTAAAAAGAACATTAAGGGGGCATAGTCAAGCACACAAAGGTAGGAGATGCCAGGATTAAGGCTGCTTGTGAGACGGGGAGGCATGAGGGAAAGGTTGGTCTCCTAGTTAAAGCACTTGATTACTGAGCTGGAGTCTACCCCTACCTCTGCCAGAGTTCCCATGCCATGCTAGGCAAGTCATTTAACAAGCTTTTCACAGATGGTCACTAATGGCGTGTGCCTCATTTTCGGGGTGCCCACCTTGAAACCTGGGTGCCTGATTTGCAGAAGTGCTGAGCACTCTGTTGTAACTGCAGTCACTGGGAGCTGCTCTTGAATACATTAAGGGCTATAAAATGCTAAGTACTCTTAAAAAGTAGGTCCTAGGCATCTCAAAATGAGCTGGGGCTAAACCTCCCCTCCCCCCATCTCATAGAGGTGCTGTGAAGCTAAAGTAATTAATACTTGTGAAACAGGTGTGATGAGTACCAACCCTGAGAGGAAATCAATTCTGTATTCAGAACAGGGGTTGCAAAGTGTGCAGTAAATAAGGTCTGGAGCCACTGACTAAACAATAGCAACAAACCAACATATCGAACACCTGCTCATTCAGTGGCTACTGTCCATCCTGTGCACGGCATGAGGAAGGGGCCCTGTTGAAAATGTACCATGTGACCACGTAACTAAATTAAAGACTGTACCCAAATGCATGTGGACCTAGGGGGCCAAATTAAGATTGCACAGGGAACCTTAGTCCTGGAATTGCCTAACATCGATGTGCTTAACTCAGCAACCTCAGTAGCTTTAGGTGTGGGCAATGTCATCCCATAACAGTGACGTGGGGGGAAGGGACCAGACTCATCTAGCCGCTCTTCTTCTCTACGTAACACCACAGAGGGATCAGAAAGACTTTTTTTAGCCCTGGGCACTTTATTCTGCTACCATCAGTAACCCCTCTTTCCCTGATATAGTGCAGGGGTGGCCAACCTGTGGCTCCGGAGCCACATGCGACTCTTCAGAAGTTAATATGCGGCTCCTTGTATAGGGACCAACTCCAGGGCTGGAGCTATAGGTGCCAGCTTTCCAATGTGCCTGGGAGGGTGCTTGCTGCTCAACCCCTGGCTCTGCCACAGGCCCTGCACCCCTTCCCTGAGCCTGCTGTGCCCTTGCTCCTCCCCCCCAGAGCCTTCGAAACAGCTGATCAGGAGATGCGGAGAGGGAAAGGGAAGGTGCTGATTGGTGGGGCTGCTGGTGGGTGGGAGGCGCTGGGAGGTGGGGGGGAAGCTGATGGGGCGGCTGCTGACATGTTACTGAGGCTCTTTGGCAATGTACATTGGTAAATTTTGGCTCCTTCTCAGGCTCAGGTTGGCAACCCCGATATAGTTGATTTTGCCTGTAACAGTAAAGCCATCAACTGGCTGGTGAGGGTGAAATTGCTGGGGGTCGCAAGCAGTAAGCTGAGCAGATACAGCACCTCTGTAAAAATCACATTGAATGGAGGCTGCAGTTCTGCTTAGCCATTTTTTTCCCTGCTCAGTCTGAAGCTTGTGAGGTGATTCCTTTGAGTGAAGAGGAACCAATCTGAACTAAACCGCATACAGGAACGAGGCAGCACCAGAGCAGACCAGGCATGGCCTGTGTGCTAAAAGGTGTAATTACACTCGGCTGCCTCCCCCTGGCAGGAATTGCTAATTCCTCCGAATAGAGCCAGGAGACTGCAGTGGAGAGAGAGAGAGCCTGGGGCCTGGTGCAAGGTCTGACCCAAAGTCAGCAAAAACCAGGCTATGAGCAAAAGTCAGGCCCTGTCATAATGATTCCTTTGCTTCCTGCGGTATTGGATATTGCTTAACCTATGGGGGAATATCTCCCACTAAGGTCTGTACATTTTCTGTGTCCAGGGAATCTTTAGCCCACACATTTTGTATTTCATTCCACCAAGTTTCCCAGCCCTTCTGCATGGTTCTTTGGTTTTATCACCTTCACTGTTTGTGCTGGTAGCCCTAGAGGGTTCAGATTAACATCTTTTCCCCCCCTGCATGGTAAGGGCTTGTCTGATACACATATTTGGAAAATCAGTGATTATTCCCAATTGCTATATTGTCTCTGCTCCAATCAAATGTTCTCTCTTCAATGGCTCACTTTTCCTGAACTGCATGTGCACCAAACTAGGGAGGTAATATTTTAACATTATGTTTTTGCTTATCCCCTGATGTTCCCTGTATTTGTACTGACTGTAACTGGTATGCATTACACATCTTTTACTAGGGGGATCCGTGCCCCCGTAATCTAATAAAAAATTGACAAGCCCATCCCTGACTTGGATGCTTATGTGGGGGCATCCCCAAACATCTACAGTCACGGGTTGCTGGAAAACGCATTCCGAGTCCTGGGGAGGGCTGTCCTATGGCATTTGTTTGTTGGTGATGGGGTCATTTAATCCAGTGGCGAAAGCGACCAGTTTCAGGCTCTTCTTTTTTATCTTTATTTCCACTGTCCCTGCTAATCCTCCATGCTTGCAGCTGTGGCTGTAAATGATCAGTCTAGCCTTTCAGCTCTCTGTTCTCCTGTATCAGCTGTCCAACTGGCATCAATTCATCACTTCTTCCTACTCCTCTGCCTCTACTCATTCCACGACCTCTAACCCCAGACTATCCATGCAGCTCACTTACTAGAGTTCCCCCTTCCTGCCTCACAGCTGCTTCTAGTTTCCCCAGCCATTCAAACAGAGGCATGTCTGCCTTCATTCTCACATCTTGCTTTCATCCATTCCACTACACCTGAGAACAATGCCTGTAACACAATGTCTTTTAATGTTTCTTGTTCTACTTTCCCTTCTCTCAATCTATGTTTGAATTCTCTCAGCTAATTGTGCAGAAGCCTCCTCTGGCATTCTTGCAGCCATGCTTGAAGATAATGTAAAGTGCTGTTGAGTCACCCATCTAATCATTTGAGCAACATTATTATGAAATCTCACAGCTCGGGTGCTTATGGATCCTAATGCATCCAATAATGTCCAAAGTAATGGCTTTGCTGCTATAGAAATACCTACTGCTTGCAGAATTGTGAATGTTTATGGATCCACTCCAAAAACTCATTAAAATTTCCTGGGGGGTGGGGGGGCCTACAGCTCTCACCAGAGCAGTTAGCTCATTCATTTTTAATGTACCAATTCTAGGTGTTAGCCCACTGACTCTAGGTTTGTTAGTTTGAGGCTCTATACTCTTCTTCTCCCATGATTAAGGCTAAGATTTTGTCCCAAATATTTTTAGTAAAAGTCACAGACAGGTCACGGGCAAAAAATAAAAATTCACAGGAGCCGTGACCTGTCCACAACTTTTACTAAAAATATCCAGGACAAAATGGGATCTGTGGGTACCCACGCTGCCTGAAGCGGGGTAGCTGTGCAGGGGCTAGGAACTGCAGGGTACCTGCACCACCTGCAGCTCTGGGGGCTCCCCTGCTGCCCATGGGGAGCTAAGAGCTATGGGGTTCCCTCACCTCTGGTGTCACCCAGGGGTTGTGGGGTACCCCTACTGCCTGCAGCTCCAGGGGCCCTCAGCTAGGAGCTTGGGGGTTCCCCCATGGCCACGAGCTGTGGGGTGCACCTGCTGCCTGTGGGGCCTGGGAGCTGCAGGGTACTCCTGCTGCTCACAGCTCTGGGGGCCTGTGAGCTCAAGGGTTCCCCCATGGGGGCTGGGAGCTCTGGGGGTTCCCTGCAACCTGCAGCAGCCAGGAGCTCAGGGCTACCCTGGTGCCCATGGTGGCTAGGAGCTGTGGGGTACCCTGCCACCTGCAGCGGCTTGGAGCTCCAGCGGCCACCAGAGGCAGCAGGGCTACAGCAGCTCCCTAGCCCGCGGGCAACAGGGGCCCTGTAGCTCCTGACCCCCGCAGACTGAAGTCACAGAGGTCGCTGGACCATCTCCGTGACTTAATCATAGCCTTACCCACAATCAGTTCACAGCTCATGTTGTCTAATGAAATCTGTTAACCATTGTGTTTCTTCACCTATTCAATCTCCACTCTCTGGAAAGACCTATCTGAGTGTTCTTCCTTCCCCTCTCCGTGTGCTTCGCCCATTCTAAGAGGTACCACTCTGTCTCAGTTTAGGCTTTGCCAAAACCTGGCTCTTATCATAAGGAGTTGGTGCAGTGCAGTGGTCCCTGCCCAGGATTGTTAGAGAGGAGGTGGTCTAGGTCATTCCACATGTCCCCATTGCACCACACACTCCAATAATCCCATGTTCCACCTTTTAATTTTGCTAAGGCCACCGTTTTCCATTTCTGTCCCCACATTCCAGGTGCTATGAAAGTACCTGCAGTCTGTTGTTGCCCTCCAATATTTATGTTGGAAGATGGTACTTTTTTTGCAGATTTTCTGTTGCGGCTCCCAGACTCTTTATTTTCCTGTTTCAGTTGCTCAAGCATATCATGCATCTGAAGTGCCTGATGCCCTCACAGCAGGGCCTCGGCATTCCAGTGCTCGACAGGTTGGGTTACCTCTTCTCTTGTTTTGGTTCTGTTACTTGCCTCACCAATTTTATGGCATTTGGCCTTAGCCATCTCACAGCCACGGCACTAGTTTGCAATAGTCTACCCTTCTTACTTTTATTCTTCTTCTTTCAGGCTACTGTCCCAACCATAGCCTTACGTATTCCAGTCCACCTTTCCCCACTTTCTTTTTTAAAATCCTGTGGCCTGCCTTTACTTGTTACCCAGCAGGTCTATTCCTCATTGAACCCTGTGGGGATCTGAAGGGAAAAGAAAGGGGGGTCCCTAGCTCAGAGTTTGCTGTTATGTTAGATGTCAATTCCTACAGTGGACAGCTCACCACTTACCAAATCAGCCGTCAGGGTCAGCCAGTGCCGTCAGTTTGCGTGCGTGTGCTGTCCCAGCTCTGTGCAGATAGCTAGTACAGCGGACCTCCATAACATTACCCAGAAAGACCAGACTCGGTTCAGTGGCAAAGGCCCTTGGCCAGGTTTATTGCCCTTAAGACACAGTATTAGCCCCCTGGCTCTATGGTTACATGTAAGCTAACATGAGTGCCCACTGACAAGGGCTCAGCTCAGTCAGCAGCAGGATTTTCTGTTGCCCCCTCCTATAATTTCTCCTTTTATACATTGATACAAACAAGTTATGTATTACACTCCTGGCATGAGTGGTTACCAACACTACACCTTGTTTGCGCTGGTTTGAACAAGACATCTCCATCCATCATTCTAGCCTTCTATCTTTGTCCTACTTGGGGTTGGTGTGTTTCTGTACACTCTCCTAGGATTGTGTTTGTTTCCATAACTCTGTTGTGGTGTACTTGTACCAGCCTTCTGGAATGTGCTTACATTAATACCCTGTACCTAAAACTTCTTCGGAATGCCTGGGCTTTAGCAATGCTAGCTATGCATATGCCTCATGCATGTACCAGACAGTGAACTTGTAAGCAAGCAACTGCTTTTTGATAGTCTGACTTTTACTCATAGCTTTTTTTTTTTTTTGCTGACTTTGGTTCAGGCCTCGCTCCAGGCTCTCTCTCTACTACAGTGGCTAGCAGCATTAGGGTGGGAAGCCCTTAACTAAATCCATCAACCCTCATTTATGTTCTTCATCTTCCTTTCCTTTGGCCCAGGAAACAAATGCCCTCATAGGTAGCAACTAAATGAGAAGCAGAAAATGTGGAAGGCACATTTAACCCTCTGGGATCAGGCACTTAAGGAGAGACTGGGCAGCTGTAGTGTCTTGAACAGGGTACATATGGAAATCCCAACTCCTAGTTACAAGGAGTTCTGAACAATAGGTTGGCCTCATTCCTGAGAAAGCAGCTGCATTCAGGACAATTCAGACTGTTACATTCACATCTGGCTGCCTGGAGCAGAGGTGGTGATGGGTCTGTGGATTAGCTTGTATGAAGTTATCAACAAGGCAAAAAGATCAGATGAGAACCCAAGACTTTCTGAGGGAAGAATTAAAAAGGAAAGACTTGGGTGGGGGAGCAGCACAAAAGTATTTGGTACAAGTGTGATTGCACGTACCCTCCCCATGATCACTGTGCTAGGAGGGGGAATGTCCCTGTGGTCCTGCTTACAGAAATTTAACAAGACACTGAAGTTATCAAACCCTAAAGGAAATCACAGCTCTTCTAGCAGCAGTTAGGGCAACAGATGTGGGAGGTATCCTCTTCATATCACATAGGGAGTATCCAGCACAGCGACCCCAGCTGCCACCCCGCCATCTGCATGCTCAACTGCCTTGGTTCGCAAGAGGTGACCGACGTGCTTATTCACCACAATGTCCTTCCCCTGCCTGCAATGAAAGGTTAAAGTGAGCAGCTGCAAAATTTAAAGCTTTATTCAATGTCTGGCATTTCTACTGATCCTAGATCTGCAGAATTCTAGCCTGGTCCCCCTCTGCCACAGCCCTGGGCAATAGGACATGTGTAAAACACTTTGGGCCTAATGGTAAGGCTTCTCTTCTGTTGAGAACAGATTTGTATTACTGTAGCACCTAGGAGCTGTAGTCCTGGGCCAGGATTCCACTGTGCTAGGCAAAGCACAAACAAAGACAGACCCTGCCCCAAAAAGATTAGATGTGAGCCTGTTTCAGGAAGAGTACATCTACCAAGGAAACAATGCAATAATAGCACCTTCACAACCATAATCCCTAGGTCACAGCACAAGAAAGAGCTATATTGGCAAATTAAATTCAGGAAATTCATTAGACTTTGTGCCTTCAACACATGACAGGAAAAATGAGAGGCAACTGGGCCTGCCTAAGATTAAAGCAGGCTGGCTGCAAGAGAGGGGGGAAAGAAAAAAAACAAAAACAAAAAACTGTCAAGTTAAAATAGTTGTAAAACTAAGGAATTTCCTATGGCACTAGCTCCATTTTTCAATTTTAAAAAAAATTTCTCTTGCCCTAGGTATGTTGACTACTGTTTGCATTGGGCTTGTACATAGGCTAGTCAATTTCTCATCAATTGCACTTTAGTTCTTTCTCCCTAGCATATCCAGTGTTGGGCTGTAAGTGCTGCTGAGGAGAATGTTTGTCTTCAAAACTGTATATAATGGGTTTCTATTCTGAAATCATGGCAACATTTCTAGGGGCTCTGGAGGGGTTGGGTTTGTCCATACACAAAAAGGGGAGAGTCAAAGCATCAGCTGACATAGTATCAAAATACATAGTACAGGGAAAACTGTACGGTAAGCAGTATTGCTCAGCTGCATAGTCCATTCAGTGAAAACCTCTGGCCTGGAATGTATTCGAGGCTGCTGCACAACTCAGCACCAGAGAGCACAGAGAGACCTGCCAATATTAATCTTTTTCTCTGTGGTCCCTGGCTCATGAAATTCCTGCAGGGCCTAAGATCCTGAAGATGACACCCTTGGAAATCAAGTTTCTAATCCTTTTTACTTCAGGCAGCGTATGTTCCAGTCTGCTGGCATGAATTCTAATTGTATTTTAAACTGGTAGAGTCTGGCACTAGCTGGGAGTGCAAGTGTGCCACAGTTTGGTGCCTGTGTGACATGCACAGAAAGCTATGGACAGAGGTGATGTTGGAAGAGCTGCATTTCTGTTATGCACTCATTTCTGCACACTTGTCTGGCTGGTGCTGCTGCACTGTAATGCCTGCTGCTCAGAACTGTTTTAATTTACCAAAGCTGAGGGGATGGCCGAGACCGGGACATGGCAATATTGCAAAGAAAGCCAACTTCTCACCTGATGTAGACACCAAAAAACCCCAACTCGGAGATACATTCTGATATTTTCAGGGGACTGTGAGCCCTGAGCAAGTAATTCATTGATGTCCGAGGTGTGATCTTATCCATTAGGATATAGGAGGACCTCTCAGGGCTGTCTTTAATCTTCTCCAGAAGTTGCTTGAGCTCTTCCCCATAGAGATTGTTCCCTGGTAACATACAATCATACATTTCAACAAATCCCCACAGCAGAAGCCATTGGATCCAGTTGCATTAGATGGCCCTGAAGAAACTGCAAATGGTGCAAATGTGAACATCCACCCATGAAGCAACGAGGATGGATGCAATCACCACCCCCTGGAGACGGCACTGGCTCTCCATGGAATTCTAGATTCAATACTATGGGCCTGGTTTCCACTAGTCTGGGTCCTGGGATCCCCTCAGTGATCACCAACCCCAACAACTGCAATCATGAGCACTATCAATGGGTGGGAGTGGGGGGTGCACAGGGGCTGGCCCATGGCTGCAGAACAGCCTGCAGGTTTGAAAGACAGGTTAAAAAGACAAATCTCTCTATGAACAAGAGGCAGGAAAGAAGGAAAACCAAAGCTGACCAGTCAACACAGGATGTTGGAAGAGATGAAGATGCTTGTACTAATTGGGCAGAGACAGAAGGAAGAGTGCATAAGATAAAGTAAACTTGCTGGGTGAGATTTTGTGCTGTGCCTCCAAGAGGTGCAACACAAAACTCACAGAGGGGGAGTGAAGATGGCTTTAAGCCACTTTTGTGTCCTAATGCCACAGCTGGTAAGAGGAAAGCCGAAGTATTACATACACCAAATATGGCGTTATAAGGCACCTTGCCTGTTCCAGGTATCTTATGAACACTGCAATGAAAATACAGAACAAATATCCTAGAGAAATGCAAAGGCCTGATCCTCCAGCCAGGCTGCTGGGCTCTGTAGCTCACAAATCAAGGAAGCTGAATACCTCCGCCTTCCCGCTGAGGCTTTAGCACATATCGTTCCGGATCAGCAATGGCCATTGCAACCATCTTAGCACCTTCTTCGCCCTAGTGGGAGACAGAAATAGCAACAGCAAAATCCCAGCAGTATTCCTGTCCCTGTTTCTATCTCCAGAACAGCTGGCTATTTGTTCTACTCCAAAACTGAGCAGAAATACCACACCCCGCACAGCAAGTTCACTGAAGAGGCCAGAAAAACACAAAACAAAAAACAACTTGAAGTCTTAAATTTGACACTGTTTAAGAGAGGGTTTTTTAAATGCATTTTTCACTACTCTCCTACTGTGCTATAGTTTTTAACTAAAAGGTCACACAATCAAATCAAAGCAGGTGTGAACTAGGTAGGAGACAGAAGTGTTGCTTTATGCACCACATAAATGAGACTACTTACCATATCCAGGGAATAGAGGCCAGTAAATGTCGCTCTTATCCGAGCAACCGCCTCAGCCCGGCTGGGCAGTAATCTCTCCATGACTCCTGGCTGGCTCAATTCCTGCTGAACTTTTTTGGTCCCAGCAAGTTGGGTAGCAATGTCAGGACACTTAACTGCTTTGGACCTTTCAATCAACAACCGTGCCTCCCAGTTCTAAGAGGGAGATATAGCAAGAGTCACTTGAATGAATGTAGGTTCCCTGATCCCCCACATGTATTCCACTTCCTATAGTTAAACATTCTCATGCAGCCCCAGGGGACAGGAAAGGAGCACACAGAAGGCATGCAGACCCGAATCCATGTGGGTCCTTTCCTACTGCTGGAAGAAGCACTAGCAAATGATTAGTAGGTCAGCCTGGATATTCTTCACTGGATTGGCTCAGACAGACAGCTCAGCACTGGTGGTGATTCTACGCTCTGGTGCTAGTCTGGAAGTACCTTATTGCCTAAAGCCTTTTAAACAAGGATAAAAATCCATTTCAGACATGTACTTTTCCAACATGGTCCTAATGCAATACTTCAGGTCAGACATTACCTGTAGTCAGAGGGTTAGCCCTATACATTACCAGTGAATGTGAACTTCAGCTTAGTAAAAGCACTGAACTGACAACAATGTGCAGCAGAAAATTTTTTTGAGAAGAAATCTGTTCATACGTCCCAGATATTCCCCAAACCAGCACTATCCGAATGCCAGGGGTGCACTGAAGAAGCTCAGATAATTAAGGGATTTCCAAGGTAATTTACAAACTTGAGGGACAAATGACCCCGTTCAGGGTAACTGAACTTGGTGTTTGCTTTTTAAATAAAAGCAGTCAGTACCCACCTGTTTGTTATAGTTCTCTGGCATGTAACCTTCTCTGTAATACACCACCGCAACCTCTTGGCCTTCCCTAGAATAAAGACCATCATATCAATCCATCCTCCTCTAGCCCTCAGGCTGTAATACGGATGGCTCTCCCTCCATGTCCTGAAAGCGAACATCTGTGAAGAACAATGCACGTATAGACAGCTCTGTGGGTAATGATTAGCTAGTGGGGCAAGCAATTGACGATGGAGCCAGCTGTGTATGGCACGCATGCAAGGCTTTTCACAGAAGAGTAGCTAGAAGCCTCTGGTTATGCATCAGAAAATCAACAATTTGAGAAATGGAGCGTTCAGAACATACGAACAATCAGACACGAACTCCTTCGAGAGCAACAGTTATCTAGCTTTTTAAAGCACCTCCCGTCCCAGTGCACAGACCATCTCCCCTTCTATTTGTTGTTGCGTAACATCCCTGTGGCAACTACAACAATTGCTTCTATGGAGAAGTGACTGTAGGAAAGTTCTGATGTATTTTTAACTACATTTAATACCATAAGTCTTCTGCTCTTGGTCACAGTAAAAGCTAATCACATTTTGGGTGAAATCTTGGCTCTGTTGAAAGTAATGACAAACTCCCATTGACTTCAATGGGGCCAAGATTTCATCCACTGTCTCCTTGACATCTCCTCACACCCTTGCCAGTGCTCTTCTGTTACTGGTCCCCTTCTCAGCTCTCCTGCACACACTTCCCTTCTCTAGTGAAAATTCATAAATTTTAAAACCAGAAGCGACCATTATACTGACCTCCTGTATAAGATGGTATGATGGGATAACATGATTTTGGTAATTAATTGATCTTTAAATATTCATGGTAAATAGGCCCAACAGCCTGTGATGGGATGTTAGATGGGGTGGGATCTGAGTTACTACAGAAAATTCTCTCCTGGGTGTCTGGCTGGTGAACCTTGCCCATATGCTCAGGGTTTAGCTGATTACCATATTTGGGGTTGGGAAGGAATTTTCCTCCAGGGCAGATTGGAAGAGGCCCTGGAGGTTTTTTGCCTTCCTCTGTAGCATGGGGCCCGGGTCACTTGCTGGAGGATTCTCTGCTCCTTGAAGTCTTTAAACCACGATTAGAGGACTCCATTAGCTCAGACATAAGTGAGAGGTTTTTCGCAGGAATGGGTGGGTGAGATTCTGTGGGCTGCATTGTGCAGAAGGTCAGACTAGATGATCATAATGGTCCCTTCTGACCTTAGTATCTAAGAATCTATGAATTCAAGCCAAAGAACCTCACCCCGCAAACTCTGCATCAAGCCCAAATGCCTCACCAACTGCCTTGTCCTCCTCTCCCTCCACTCCCCCTGGATATACTGTCTGGTTTTCTTCTCTCCAGGACAATCCTCTCCCACCAGTGGCTCTGGTCCCTCTCCAGCAACATCTGGCTCCTCCAGTATGTTGATAGCTCTGGCTCTATCTGCTGCTCTACAGAAGTGGTCCAGGGTAGATGCATCAAGACTGTCCTCTGTTTCTATGGACACCCAGATTTTTCTTTGCAATGAAGAGCCTGGATGCGACACCACCAGCTGGAAGAAGGCCGCACTGTGTGACCTGCCTGCTCTCTGCAGAGCACCAGCTAACACTCCATAGACCACAGTTTGAGAACCACTGTCCTAAAATATTGAAGTTGTTCTTCCCAAATCACTGGAAGAGCAGTTTGCCCTAGATTTGCCATTAAGTCTCAGATATGAACAACAACTCTGATATCTTGATAATGCAGGTGATCTTAGTATATCCACTCTCCAGTTCAGCAGCTACCACAAGACCAAGCTCTGGCTTCACCAACTCTGTACATGATCAGTGAGTAACAGCTGGAGAAGTTAATTATATACCACGTATGATTTAAAGGGATTCAGTCAGTAAGAAAGGAGGAATTCCTGGAGGAAACGTACACATTGTTTGATATGATATCTCTGATTAAAAAGTCGGGGGTATGGGACACACACACACACAAAACTGTAGAAACATCAAATGTGGAACTGGAGAGAAATGAATGTAGCCACATAGCTAAACTTTGGGACATGACTTGCCCCGTTTATGGTTGGACAGCGTCATGCACACTGAGGACCTGCCCAAAACAAATGATAATAAGCACCATATTTGGATTTTGTGAATGTCACACTATAGTTTCAACAGTCTGACCTGTGTCAGGACTCTAGGAGACTGAAGAGCAGAAATAGTGAGACCTTCTCCAACTAATGAATAAGATGGAGGTTACAACAACTGAGAAGAGTAAGGGAACAGTGCTTCCTATGGTGGCACTAATAACCATGCAATAAAGTTCTCCCAGTAAATGTACGTTCCCATGAGCAATGTGTCACACTGCCAGTAAGCAGAAGAGTGCTCTTTGGGGCACCCTCTAGGACAGTGTTTCTCAACGACTGGTCCGTGGACTGGTGCCGGTCCCCAAGATCTCCCTGACACACTTTAAGAAGGCAGTAAAGCCAGTGCCTGGTACCAAAAAGCTTGAGAAACACTGCTCTATAACAGCTACGCTGTTTTTATACACACACACGAACGAAACATGCCATCCTGCCAGGTCCTCAGGGCTGTGGTTCAGAAGAGGGAATTTATGCCTCCATGTAAAAAAACAAAAACAAAAACAAAAAAACAACCCAGAAACGGTTTCTAAAACCATTTCAGTTCCAGTGAATCCAGGAAAAGCAAGCTCTGGATTTCTTATTGAAGAGGATAAAAATGTTAAACCTACTAAAATCTCAAAAGAGAGGGATATGCCACCAATTTGGACTGAAAGTTGCCATTTACTGTGTGTGATGTGAAAAGAATGTCTCAGACCCACCTCTGCCAATCTGGGGTCACACATCTGTGTCTAATGCCTGTTTCAGAACACAGCAGAATGCTGTGGCAGGGCCTCGGCAAGTACTTACATGTACAGTCTCCTGTCGTTATCTAAAGATGCCTTTTCAAACACATCTTCAAACCGTCTCCGGATCACCCGGATATTCCTTTGAGAGAGGAGTGAGAGTCATTGAACTTGGCAAAGAGACAGATATCTGCAAGCGAAATCACAAGTAGAATCTACATCCCCAATGGCTTTAGAGCCCTAGAGAAAAAGGGCAAGGCTTGCTGGCTTCTCTTTCCTTTTTCCAAGGTAATTTAACTCTAATAGATTTTCCTTGGCACCCAGAGCTCTTAAATACTGGCGAGGAGCCAAGGTAATGAAATTAAAAAGGTCTATGTGGCTGGCCCATAATCAAGTGTCCCCTTTCCATCAAGGAGATTGTCCCCATCACTCCTGCCCATCGTATTAATACACATAGCACAAAATAGATAAAAAAGCAGAAAGATACATCCCTAGGTTTTCATACCACTGTAACCGGACTAGGATCCTTTGAGAAGTCACTATAAGGATAGAGAATTGTGATGGTCTTAGGTCATAATTTAGATTTGAAGGGGGGGAGGGGTTGAGGGTATAAGGGGAAGTGAGGTGGTGTACAACCAAGCCTATTATGAACAGAAATATTCCCCTGCACTGTTGTGACCCCCCAAATACAATAGCATTGCTCTAATACAGGAGGACCATCAGAAAGTATCAGTTTTATTCTTTGCTCATAGTCTAAGACAGGGGTAGGCAAACTTTTTGACCCAAGGGCCACATCTGGGTGGGGAAATTGCATGCAGTGCCATGAATGTAGGGCTGGGGCAGGAGGTTGGGTTGCGAGAGGGAGTGCAGGGTGTGGGAGGGGGTGAGGTGTACAAGGGGGCTCAGGGCAGGGGGTTGGGGTGCAGGAGGCGTGCAGAGTATACAAGGGGGGCTCAGGGCAGGGGGTTGAGGTGCAGCAAGGGGCTTGGGGTAGGGGTGCGGGCTCTGGCCCGGCCTACCTGGAGCAGCTCTGGAGTTGCAGTGATGCGCACCGAGGCCAAGGCAGGCTCCCTGCCTGCCTGCCCACCCTTGCCCCATGCCTGCTGCATCTGGGGCAGAGAGCTCCTCGCATTGCCCTTGCCTGTGGGTACCTTCCCCGAAGCTCCCATTGGCTGGGAACGGGACCTGCCAATGGGAGCTTCAGGGGAGGTACCCACAGGCAAGGGCAATGCGCGGAGCCCTCTGATCTCCCTTCCCCAGGGGCCACAGGGACATGGTGCTGGCCGCTTCTGGGAGCGCCACAGGGGTGGCAATCCTGCAGGCCACATCCAAAGCCCTGAGGGGCTGGATCTGGCCCATGGGCTGTAGTTTGTCCACCCCGGTCTAAGAGCATGTCTATTGCCCAAACTGAAATGCTAAGTAACCCTAACACAAGTGTTTAAAAGCACATTGGATTTTTAAATGCTCAATTTTAATAATCTAAGATAATACTAGAAAGACATGCAAGGTTTTTTTGTTTGTTTTTTAAAATGAGTTATGTGATCTGGGTCCTTGTAAAGTGGGATTAAACAAATTATTTCATCCTAAAACGTTAAACAGTTACCTGGTCCACAGCTCATTTTCTATGCAGCGTTGGTCAAAAATATTCCTTTCGATGTCTGCAACCAGGAACACCACTACAGCCCTGAAATATACACCCCAAGAACTGCATCAGAGCCTGAAACACACCCCACACAGAACTATGGACCTCTAGCTAAACGTTTCATCTTTTAAATTCACTTTGGTGGTGTGTGTTGCTTGCATGGCTTTCCAACTGATGTTCTTTGCTAGTTCCTAGTCCACTGCTAAAAGGCAGTGCCAGGTGCCGTGTTCTTACTGAAAAGTAGCTCTGGGCAGGAGCACAAGGGGAAGAAATAGGAGGATTCAAGAATGGCTACAAAAAGTCTTCTAGCAGTACAAGTCTTTCATGCCTTTTAGGGAGTACCTGTGGGCAGCTGGATACTGTGTAATTTTAAAGAAAACAGTGTATGGCCAACCCAGTAACTTTGTGCTCTGTTTCAGAGTAGCAGCCGTGTTAGTCTGTATTCGCAAAAAGAAAAGGAGTACTTGTGGCACCTTAGAGACTAACATCCAATGAAGTGAGCTGTAGCTCACGAAAGCTTATGCTCCAATAAATTTGTTAGTCTCTAAGGTGCCACAAGTACTTCTTTTCTTTTTGTGCTCTGAAGAACAGAGATCCTCCTTCTCTGGGATGGTAGGGGAATTAGAGCACTACAGAGTTAAAAGAAATGTTGTATATATTAAATAGATCCCTTTTAAAAGGTGCAGTTCGAGAAATAAATGTGTACTCATCCTGACATCTTCCCACAGGCTACTCCTCCCTTACCTGGTTGAGCCATAGAGTTCCCAAGCTTTCGCAATGCCCAAGGCAATCCCTTTGCATGGATTATTGTCCAGTAACTTCGAAGCTTCCTTGGACTTCCCCAAAACATTCAATATGTGCCTGTGATATAAGAGAAATGAGAAAATCACATGATGATCCCAGCTGACCTAGGATTTGTAAAACAGAAGTTCAAAGAGTTTGTGGATATTAAGAGGTTATGACAGGGTGACAGCACAAGACACACAGAGCATGCAGACTGATGGTTTGCTGAAACCTCCTCACTGGCTAAGCAATGAAGTATCCGGGACTGGCCTTTGTTTCAAAGGGGTTCCCTTACCGATGCACAGCAGTGGTTCTCGAAGTAAGGCCTCCGAAGCTGGCAGCAATGGTGTTTATTTCGATTTGCTTCAGTGCTGGAGTGCCATCTGCACCAAGGTCAACCATATAATCTGAGCGATTTATTCCTAAGAACACTGACTGAACGAGAGGGAAAATAAAATGCAAAATATAGCACACGGCCATTCCTCCACATCTCTGACCAGCATAGTGAGGCACCTCACTTGCCACAGGCCACTTTGACAAATTCACTTAAAAACCCCCTTTTTTAGGGCTGCAGCCAGCAATCTTCACTCTGGTAAAGTAACCACTGGTGTCGAATAGAGTTTTGGCAGAGTAAAGACTGTTGGTTGGGTCCTTAGCTTATTTCCTGCATTTATTTGGACAGACATATGAAACCCTTATCATTTCCCTCTTTCATATACATCCCATGGCAAGAAAAGGTAACTGATGTAACTGTGCTACAAAAGAAATTTAACAGTACAGGAAAGCCCTTATGTGCTACTTCTGACCCAGCTACATTGAACTGGAACTCAGCAAAATGCTCTTTTGAGACTTTCAGAAGACAACATTAGAAGTATGTATAATCACGGTCCTCTTTCACACAAGGTTAGACTGCTCCCAGCAATACCCACCAAAAATACTTAGAGGCATGATTGCTGAACGGTCTCATAAAATGGGACAAGTTACTCAAGATACCATAATCTAGAGAGTAGCCCTATACATCCTCCTACTGACTGAACAATTCAAAAATCAACCTGTAGGAGAGATCTTTCAAATTACCAAAAAACCCCAAACTTCCATTATGAAAGAAAGGAGAGTGGCTGCTAATGGGGCGGTGGGAGGGGGAGAGGAGGGAAGAAGGGGGAGACTACTTCCTGTGGGATACCTGAGCCAATCCTTCTTTCAGAACTTGCTTGTAGATTTTAAAGAGATGAGCTGTGAAGTCATCCACTTTGATGGTGCTAGAGAAAAAAAAGAGTATACCAATCAATTTACTTTGCTATAAGGGAGATAGATTTCCTCAGGTAAGGGCTTTATCTATTACATGGTGGAAGCTACAGGATACACTCCCCAGCACAATGCACAGGACTGTGGTCAGACCATGCTCTTGAGCATCAGTAAGAGCTGCACAAGCTCAAGCCTCACCTAGAGCATTTACAATGGCCCCTTGTGCCTAAGGCAAGAGTTTCAAGTGGTCAGATAACCCTTATCCACACACACAGCAATAGGGACCCTGATAAAAAGCTTCTCTGTGAAGAAGGTTCAGAGACTCATACAGTTAAAGGTCAGAAGGGACCGTCATGATCATCTAGTCAGTCGGACCTCCTGCATATCGCAGGCTACAGAACCTCACCCACCCACTCCGGTAATAGGCCCCCTAACCTCTGGCTGAGTTACTGAAGTCCTCAAATCATAGTTTAAAGTCTTCTAGTTACAGAGAATCCACCATTTACACTAGTTTAAACCTGCATGCGACCCAGGCCCCATGCTGCAGAGGCTCTCCCTCCCATACTCTCCCTCTGCAGCTGCCAGTGTGAATCTCTGTGAAGGAAGAGAGAGAAGACAAACAGAAGATAGAGAAAAGCAGCAAAGAAAGACCAAAAGTCTCCCCACTCCCACTGGGGTCTGGTATAATAATTTACAGTGCAAATTCTGGGGGCCACCACCAAATTCACATTTTGGTAGTTTACTGGCTGGCCATGCTGCACATCACTGTACTCACCACTGTATAACCCTTCTAGAAAGGGCCCTGGCACAAACTACATGTATGTTCTACTCCAAACAACTGGATTACTTACTAGCAATAAGTTGTTTACATAACACACTACCCTCACTTCCCCTGGCCAAAGGGAATCTTGGGCCTGGCCACATAGCTATAGGTATCAGCTACTAGGTTGGGGTGTGGACGTCTTTTCTGGCAAATGTCCATTTAGACAGCCCTGCAGGTTAGATGGCACAACCTTTAGTCCCTTTCCTCCCCCCACAAGGGTCAGAACAGATCAGTCATGTTGCCATAGTACAACAGCTCTTTGAACATACAAGGTGCACCCTCAGCTCCCCAGGATTACTAGACAGGTAGGGATAGCAACAGATGGAGCTGAAAGTCTGACAGAATTTTGGTCCAAAATTTGGGGGAAGGCCCAAGCATCTTGTCTTTGTGGAATATTCTATTACGTGGTCTGGCAATCAGAACCTGCAGCTCTCAGACCCTCCTGGCCATGCCACCAGCTGCCAGAAACAAAACCTTCAGCGAACAGCGGTACAGACAGCGAGATCCCAGTGGTTAACACTGAATTTAAGTCTCAAGCAGGCTCCCAGGTGGGAGGATAAAGTCTGTAAGACCATCTGAAGTGGAGCATATAGTGGGGCAAGAGCAGCCCTACCCATACCCCATTTTCCCATATACATCTTTTGCAAGGCCCAAAGAGACCCAAAACCCTTACTGAAAACAGCTAAAAAATACTAAATTTAAATAAGAATGTAGAGTCTAATGCACTTAACTACTTATGAACTACTGGCAATCATTTTATAAAAACTAATGTGGTGGGGAAAAGGAGAGGTTAGTTCTGTGACCAGTCTGGCAGACAGAAAGTGTAACCTGTAGCAGAAGTGGTGTATTTATACCCTGTCTGTAACCTGAAGAACTTGAGGGACATCCATAAACTATCAGTAGAGATGACTGAAGGCAGCAACTCAAGAAGTAACAGCAAAAATGGACTAAGATTAAGAGTGATAGAAGCTTTACATTTAAAATATTTGTTTAGTTAACATATACAGTACAATACATACCTAGCAAGAGTGCGTTCCAGGAATTCCGCGTTCTGGCTAATAGCATCCACAAGTAGGTTAAAATCTTGCTGAACAGCATAGGCTTGTTCAAAGATGGTGCTTGGTACTACAGATGGGAGCAATGTAAAGGGAGCATAATTCACCACCTGCAGATAAGGGTCCAACAATGGAGAAGTCAGCCATTTTCCTCACACTTCCTTTTCCTAACAGACTGGGCTGAAATCTTCTGAAAGTGTGGCCCAGCCAGTTCTCATTTAAATGAGTCCCAATTTAAAACTGACATATTCTAGACTAGATCCTTACTTCATTTGTCCTTGAACAGACTATCCCTCAGTACACCACAGGTTGCATTGCCTGAACTTTGGCATGTCTACTTTTGAGTGTTTCATTTTACAAAACTTAATATAATGGAATTTGAGTTGGGAGACCTCAGTAGCAACTCCATAGTTACAGCTGTGTTGAACTTTTCATTTAACGGAGTATAATCTCTGTTTCCACTTTAATGGTAGAATGTAGTCTCCAGATTTACCACAAGTACTGTTCAAAGAACAACTGAATTTTATAGTATATCCAGTTCTGAAATTTATCTCTGAGGGTCTCATTATTTTTGACTCACTTTGGCTACTCAACTCCAGTCACTGCAAATTCCAGACTCGATACACCTCTTCACTGAAACCACATCCCAGGCATAAGCCACTTTGAAAACAGCAATTTTATACAGGACAAAAGTTATTCTCCTTGTTTGTCATAACCTTTTGTGCACGCCAAGAGAAGCCAACTCCTCTCTCAGAAGCCAATGTGTATGTCTGCTCTGCAACACTACCTCCTCAGCATCAAATCCTAGAATTCCCTAGGCCCCGGGGTGGACAAATTACAGCCCATGGGCCGGATCCAGCCCACCAGCCATTTTAATCTAGGGAGCGGGGTCTGGGGCTTGTCCCACTCCAGCCAGGGAGCAGGGTCAGGGGCTGCTCCGTGCGGGTCCCGGAAGCAGCAGCATGGCCCCCCTCTGGCTCTGACGCATAGAGGCGTCCAGGGGGCTCTGTTCCGCACGCTGCCCCTGCCCCAAGCACCACCCCCCCGTGGCCAGGAACCACGACCAATGGGAGCTGCAGGGGTGTGCCTGCGGACGGGGCAGAGCACAGAAGAGCTGCCCAGCCACACCTCCGCGTAGGAGCTGGAGGGGGGACATGTTGCTGCTTCCAGGAGCCACTGGAGGTAAGCACCACCCGGAGCCTCCACCTCAAGCCCCAACCCCAATTTGGTGAGCATTCATGGCCCGCCATACAATTTTTATACTCAGATGTGGCCCTCAGTCCAAAAAGTTTGTCCACCCCTGCCCTAGGCAGATGCTGATCTGTGAGAGACTGACTGGACAGCAGAGCCAGCATAAAACACAAAGATACATGGCAGAGACATACTCCACAGCATCACTGTCAGTCATCTCTAGTCTTCCTACAGCCTGCCCATGGAGATGCCAGGCAACTAGCCAGCCTTCAGCCAATACACAGTCCCTCTCTCTTACAGGCTGCTGGTGGACCTGATCAGGTCCACAAGCAGGATCCTGGTCTGACAGACCCTGCTTATAACACACGAGTTCCCCTCTGGCAAGTTACAGTAGGTTCACCAAAGGGAGAAGTTGCCTCCCAAGCAGAGCTGGTATCCCTGCGAAGTCCAGGCCATTTAAGGTGACACCATCCTCTTCTCCTTGTTCAGTTGTGGTGGTAGCTGAAGGTTCCTGAAAAGCAGAACCTCCCACTGACAAACTTCTTGGGATTTACCAGAAATGAGCTCTGCTCAGATATTGGGAGCACATCCATCACACCAGGACTGCCCCTGGGGAGAGTGAACACACAGCACTGACATCCACTGTTAAGCCACCACACCTCATGTTTTCTCATGGACAAATAAAACAGATTTTCATAATGCAGGTAGATCTCTCAGTAGAATATCTTAGTCTGACCACAGTTGGTATTATGGAGTGTGGTGAAAGCTTACTCTGCTATTGTCTCAACTCTGGTTAGTCTCCTGTGGAGCTGTGCAGTTACTGCAAAATATTGCACATTTCATGACGACTCAATAAACAAGCCTCATCACCTGCAACTATCTCCCTCCCAAGACCTTGTCCTATGGGGCAGAAATCCTGCTGAATCATTTGATCCTTTTCCAAGAATGCATTATTTCTATGTGAGAACACCGAGTAGTTAAATAAGCCGAGCTTACGTCGGATGAATTGGAATCCTCTTTGGTCCTCATCAGAACTCCTTCAAGCAATGCTGCATCCACAGCGATCGCAGCTACCTCTGGAATGAGCTGCTCATTGTGCAAAACATCTTCCCATAGGGCCAGGTGGGCAGTCATTTCAAATACTAAAGACAGAAGAGAAGTCACTCACAGGACGGGGAGGGAACAGAGTCCAGTGCTCTTTACCTGTACATGGCCTAACCTTTTTTGCTTAGTAGGTGATGGTGGTGGGGTGTGAAAGTGGTTGTTTTGTTTTAAATTAGACCAGATGGAACTGCAATTTTCTCCTAGCTTTAGCAAGTTCCCTTCTGTATTGAATTCTGGTCTGGATAGCAGAGGTGATATACGCAGGGTTGTTGAACAGGCTCTTAGCATAATATAGGCCTTAGTCAGCATTTCTTACTCAGGCAACACTCACACTAACTTCCCTGTGACATTTGCCCAAGAGCCAAACAGGTCCTCAGGCCAGGCACTGTAACTATCTTCCTGGGGCTTTTGACCCAACTAATTGTTCTAATATCACCTATTAAACATAATAGATGCATATTTAGAGGGAAAGGTATTGCCAGATATAGAAAAACTGTTTCTGTGGGGAGAAGTAGTAAAGCAGATACTCATGTTTTCATGACCCTTAGAAAACTGACTTAGCAGAGAGGTCAAGGACTAACCCAACTCTCCTATCTGCTCTACTGATTGGTACCTTGTTTGTGACCATCCAGAACATGGTTAGGACATAGCCACGTGGTTAGGAACTATACTCTTTTTACCATACTTGTGAACAGGGCTGTAACACAAGTATCAGGCTCTCACCAATTTGTAATTTCTATCATGACTGCCAAGCTGCATCTGTGTAACTTGCCCTCAGCTGCCAGAACAGTCTGGCAAAAGTACCTGAATGCGCCAAGAACCACATTTTTGCACCACAGAGGTACGGTTGAGCAAGGAAATATCATGCAGTGTTGATGCACTGAAATATGTTAGTGCTGTAACTATATCAGATGAGCATGTCACCATTTCTAATTACAATGAATACAGTCCTACATGGTGCACAGAACTGGTCCTGCCAGGGCAGGGTTGAGGCCTACTGATGAGGCAGCATGTATGTGGGAAGCTTGCATCATCATTGCTCAGGTTGTACTATCTCTGCAGATAAACAGAGACCCCTCAGGGCACAGATCGCGGCTTCTTTACGTGCTGTACATGCTGTACAAAGCATTGCTCACGTTTATTACAGCACTCTATAAATGTAACGGAAGTGTCAATAAAGCCTTTCAAGGCATAACGTCACCTGGAGAAGTGTCATGTTGGAAAGAGGACAAGCCTACAATCGCTATATAGACACCTGCTTTAGAAAGGAGTCAGTCATTTAACTGGTCAAGTTGAAACAGACATCGGTATTTAAGGTGCCTGCGTCTCAGCAAGGCACACAAAGCCCAATGAAGGGCTTCTCCTTGGCCACAGGATACCGCACCCTGGGCTGTGTGCCATTTTGTTTATAAGTCTAGTTGATAAACAATAAGCCATTTTAAATATACCAGTTAAGTTCGTGACCTATTCATCCAAATAAGCCAGTCCTACTGGAACAAAGGGGAAGCCCCCCCAGGGCAGCCGCCTGGAAGTAGCAGCCCGGCGCTTTGCACAGCCGGGCCCACCTTACCCACAAAGCTCGGAGCCAGCACCAGCGTCTGGCTTGCTCCGTTATCCCGCCCTCAGCGGGTCACGGCCCGCCCGGCCCCGCCTGACGCCGAGCGGGGCCCGGGGAGCGTGTGACCCGCTTTCGCGCCTGCCGGCCCGCGGGCGCCTTCTGCCCGGCCCGCACCATGGCCGCGCCAGGGCGGCCCGGGGCAGCGCTGTGACTTACCCCGGGTAACGCTGCGCGCCCCCCCAGCCCCGGGCCGCCGGGAGGACCCGGCCCGAGGAGCGGACGGACCCGGGGGTGGGGGCAGAGCGCGGGACGGCGCGGCCCGGCCCCGCCCCGCGGGATCCCTCACCTGAGGCCGCCACTCGTCAGCGGACCGAGCCCGGGGAGGGCCCCCTCCCCCACCTGCCAGGGGAAGCGACCGGCCCCGGCCCCGGCCCCGCCCCCTAGCCCCCGTACCTAGCTCGCGGCACCGGCCGGCTGCGCGTGCGAAGGGAAGTGTGCTCTTGCTCCGCTCAACCCCTGATTGGACGCGCCTCTCTCAGCGCCCGGAACGGCATCGAGCGCTCGCCTTCTCCCATGATTGGCAGGAGAGTGGGCCTATCACCGGGAAGTAAGGAGGGCGGGCGAGGTCGCCAGTCAGGGCTGGACTCCGGACCAGCTACAGAAGGAATCAATCGTAAGCGGGAGGCCCCGCCCCCCGCGTACTCAGGCGCTCAATGCGCCTGCGCCGGGCTCTCAGTCAGGCCCTCACGGCGCTTGGCGCCCGACAAGGGCTGAGGAGCAGTGGCAGGGCGCGAAGCCGGGAGCCGGGCTGGCCTCGTGCTCTGATCCGCGCGCGCCAGGCTGCAGCCGCCGGCCGCTGGGCTCTGGCCTGGCCCGGGTGGCGCGCCGTGCCTTGCCGGCCTCGCTGGGGGCTGAGCCAGCCCCTCAGGGTGCTCAGGCCCCGACCATGCACATCGTTAAACACCCCACTCGGTGCCTGCCGCGGCAGCGTTTCCCCCCAATGCCCTGCCCTATGCGAGTTGCTGGAGGCCACCTGGGGAGCAGAGTCACCCCTCGCTCTCCAGCCCACGCTGGCCAGCCACCAGCGCTTCAAATCCACGTCCTCGACGGCGACCTCTCTCAAACACAGCCTTGGACCGGCCCATTTTTGTCCCACCACGATCGTCTTACCTGGTGCACCCAACGCCCCGTGTGCAGCCGCTCTGTTCCCGGAGCCCAAGCTGTCCTCGTTCAACCCTGGTCCAGGCACTCCTGATTCCCTCCTGCTCGCCGGCTGCCAAAGTCTGGAGGAGGGGAGGCCTGCTTAATGGGACTTCTGTGGTCAGCTGAAGCAGGGTTCCCTGCGTATCATCAGCCCTTGGAGTCTATCCCCTTCTCCTCAGTTCGATGTCCCCCCGATACCTAGAGAGACAAGGGGAGGGTGGTAATACCTTCTGTTGGTGAGAGAGAGAAGCTTGCAAGCTACAGAGAGCCCTTCTTCAGGTCTGGGAAAGGTCTCCCTGATACCTACACAGCTTTGCTTCATGCTTCCAACTTCTCTCACTACTGAAGAAATGTGACACCAAATTTTTTTAGCATAGGCCAACATCTTGGGACAGAAAGTGATCCACAGGCCGAGAATAGGTTCCTCCGTGGGCCCAGTCTGGGATGCTGTGTCTAACACTGAACTTTTTCTTTAAAACTCCCAATGTTGCTATATGACTGATTCAGCTCCATTGGGGCTAGAAAAAGCGGGAGCACTAACGTAGACTGACTGCTGATGCTTTTACCACTGTTGTCCAACTCTGCTTAAAGCAGGTCTAGCTGACACAAGGCTAAAAATACAGGCAGCGAGTTTATAACAGCACTCCCACCATTGGAGGGCACCAGCACTACAGCAATTGTGGAAGATTTGAAAGAAAAAGCTCAGACGCTAGCCAGAGAGAAAGAATCTAAGCAAAACCAGCAGCTCCACAAATTTCTGCTCTTTGCAGTTCATAAATCTTCATCTATTGAATTTACCCTGAATAGATAAATGGTGAGTGGTGTCTCTCATGAAGTAGGTTTTCCTGTCAATGAGGAAAGAATGAAAGGGGTGGGGGGATAGGACTTTTTAATGATAGTGTGGCTCCTAAGAACACTCAGGGAAGCTCGGCCTTAGAACCATACAGATGGGTGAAGACTGTGTTGTTACCTCTGAGGTCCATACATAGTAAGAGATCTGTGAATGATCCAAAGAATCAGCTGAGCAGATTACTTCAAATAGCCAGAAGGTGTCAGACCTAAGTAATTGGTGTCAAGCTGCTTCCAATAATCACAAAGGTCATGATGCAAGTATTTCACACATGGCAAAAGACAGCACTGCAGAGCCATCCACGCCACATCTTGCTTCAGCCCCATCAGGATCATTGGTCTGTACTTCTCTGATCTCGTTGCTTGTAAGAGCTCTGATTAAGCTCATGAAGGACCAAGCAGTGACATTTACAATAGCCACCATCTGGCCAAGAAGACTCTGGTGTACCAGTTATTGGTGAGCTACTGCTCTATCACATGTCATGGATCTTCTGTTTCAAAGTCTAGTGCTGCACCCCAATCCAGCAGCCCCCATTTTGTCATTCTGGTTGCTGCGAAGCACATATTAACAAGGGGGTATTATACTATGATGAAGTAACAGATGCCATTACATTTTTCAGGAAAAAATCCTCATATAATATATGTCAGGATAGGGAGAAAGTTTGAACACAGGTGCTATGAGGAAAAGCAAGAGTTAATCAAAGGCTGGAATCCCTGTCATCTGGGAAGTCCTGCAAAAAAGAAGGGGGCATAAAAACTGCGTCTTCTTACTCAGCAGGTCTGCTTTGTGTATATCAGAGCTAGAGCTGCTGGTGACAAATACAAGCTTCTTCTATTAAGAGCCAACCACAGTTGTAAGGCATGTGACAATTCTCCAAAAAAAGGCAATTTTTTGGAGTTTAATTTACCCACCTTACACCCACCCACATCATATATCATTTGAAAGCTTATTTTATGTATGTTTAGGTAAGGCATGATGTGGAGCTGTCAAGTGATACTGTAAGTGAAACAATGGTACCCAAAAAGAGAAAGTGTCATTTTTTGCACAGTTCCAGAAATACAGCAACACGATTGAGTACAGCTTTTTACTGTTTAAGTTAATTTCAACACCTTAACATGGTGTTTATTGGTTAAAGCTACCATAGGATAATGTGTTAAAAGATTTTTATTGGTTTTGCATGGGCAAGTATTTTTTTCCCAGGATTGATTAAGCTGTTTAGCGTGTGGCAAGAATGGCCAATATCAACATTTTCCAATATACTAACATTAAATGTTTTCGCATTGCATACAGTATTCTTAATTGTCAAAGTATCTCACATGTCATTCTAATAGTTTTTTTATATTTTCAATTGAAATTTGCTGACCAGATCAATCTCAGACTGAAGGTTTCAGAGTAGCAGCCCGTGTTAGTCTGTATTTGCAAAAAGAAAAGGAGTACTAGTGGCACCTTAGAGACTAACCAATTTATTTGAAGGTTGTGCACCAGCAGCATAGATTGGATGCCCGTAGTTTGTCCTGAACAGTGGGTAGATATAAATGTATGTGAATTCCTAATGTAATGCTTCTCCATTTGTAAGCTTTTGTACATACAATGTAGCATCTAGGCTGCCTGGTTGAAGGTTTTAATTTGTAATGCATGCAGTACTAGCCTTTGAAATATTCTAGAAACTAGCTTTTAATTTAGTGATATTTATGCACACTTAGTGTTAGAGATGATCATACAAAGCTTTATATTGGGCTACAATCAAAGTGCTCACTAAACAAAAATGGCAATTTTGATACTAACAGGCCTAATTTATATCTAGATTAGCATAAGCCTGTTTACTTGTACAAAATGAAAAATGGTGGTAATGGTGACAGTAATGCTAACAAGATACTTTGAGAATTTTAACTCTACAGGAAAGTTACACTATATGAAGACATGGAGTATACAGACCCCTTAAAGCTTACATCAAAGAGAAAAGATTCCCTACAAACTTAAAAAATGTTTGTCAAGGAAATCAAAACAATACAAAACTGTCCAAAGCCACCAATGCTGGACAGAATTCTGTGATGCTGGCAGCAGAAGGCAGGAGAAATTAATAGTATTAGCATAGGATGCCTTTTCTAGTTTAGATGATGTGCCACCAATACTCTATGACAGGGCCTGCTTTCAGAAATACACAAGAAAATAGACTTTGACACATGTCAGAGTTGTAGTGAACCCAGGAAAGAAAACAGACAATCTGATCAGACAGCATCATATTCACCCGCTTCCAGAGTATGCACATCTTCCAGTGATTGGTCCTGTTGCATCATTTGCTTGATAAAAAACACACAACACAAGAACCCTAATAAAATAGAAACACTGTAGAGAGCAACCAATATCAGAGAGGCAGCACTTCAAAGAAGAGATGATGATATGTTGTGCAGAAGAATACCTGTGGAAGACTTGATTGCTAAGGATGCAATTTATCACTCAACATGCCTTTCTTCCTACTTGAGTAAAATGAATCTTAAACTAAAACTATCTAGTTACACTTCAACAATACAGTCATCTTATGACACTGCATTTCAATCAATTGATTGAAAAAATGTATATAATATCATTATCCAGCAAGAAGGCTCTTCTATCCAAGCTGCTACAAAGATATAAAGCCCTACTTCTCTCAGATGTAGAAACTGCAAGCAATTGCAACAGCAAGATCAGAAAAACATTCTGGTTCTGCAATTTCATTCCATGCACAGCACGAACTAGGCAAATCTACCTTTGTTCTATAAAGTGCAACAACATTAGCTGATGCTATCCAAGCTACTAGTAAGCTGAAGCAGGAATTTAAGACATCCAAATGTTTGGTCTATGTTCTTCTGGTGAGGGAGCCTGATGAATAGCTTTCAAATGACTAAGTGGTTTTGTATAATGCCACTTAAATCCTTCAGTCTGAAATAGCTAAAATGAAAGCCTCAGAATATTATCCAAAGCCAGATGATTGTGGTTTAGAGAAGTCATCTACTTTTGTGCCCCAGTTGATGCAAGAGTTTCTTTGTCCGTTCGTTGATGGATAAAAATGTATATAATTCACCCAGCAATGACTACCATCTTTCAGAAGACATTCAAATAATTCACCACTGCACATAAACCATGCTGCACCGCTACACCATGAGTCTGGGGCCTGTAATTTAATTGACAGGCTACACCTCCACTGATATCAATTATGATGAACGGAAGCAATTCATCACTAGTGCTGCAAAAAACTGAAGTAAAAAGACTCCAGGGAGATGTGTTCATTCCAAATGGAATTGTACCACTACATGCGGATGGAAATCTCATCCATGAAGGAGATAATATAATCAACATGGAGATCCTTGACTGAAATAATATCTTTCATTCAATGGATAGAGTGGTATTTCAAGAACAGTCTCCAGATAGTCCAGCATCACAAGAAATATCACTGAAGTGTGGGGAAAAAAAATGTCACTCTACCCAGGCAGATTCTCTTATGCAGTGTTTGAAAAACCAAAAAATGTCCAGCACCAGTTCACCATGAAAAATACTTGAGAAAATCAACTGTGTCTGTAGTCAGAACAATCTTCCCTGCACAGAACTGTATATACCAAGAGAATAAAGAATGTGGCAACCCATGATGATGATGACTAGAAATGTCACCAGTGCTGTTACATTTCAATGATGCCTGTACGTATTTATTATTAGATTTTTTTTTTACCCTTTAGATTGTTGTTGTGATACTTTGAGGTCAAAAGAAATCCAAATTTATGTCTTAAAATAATACATAGTCATTAAACAGAAACTAATGCAAATATTTCAAAGTGGTCATTTTAATGTGTTGATAAATAATGACGCTATCCCTGTTTTTTATGGTAGGGGCACTACTTGACAGCTCCACAGCAAACCTCATCTTCAAGTACACACAATAAGCTCTAGAATGATATATGATGAGCGTGTGTGTAGAGAGGGTACATTAAACTGACCAAATCAGTGGTGTCTGCTCCTCCTTTATATCAGATGAGAAAGCTGGAGTCTATTTTGCCTCACACGTCAACAGAATTATTAACTAAGTTCCATTTGCAGCATCTTAGTGATTGGTGATGTGTGGACCAGAAGTGTTCTAGATGGAACCTGTGTCATTGGCATGTGGGGTAGATCAGTTTTTAATTTGTAGATTCAGCACTTTGGAAATGGAATCAGCGAGACAAACCTAGAGATGCCTATTGTGAAGTTACTAGCCCTATTCTGGATCAAATTCAGCTCTGGTGTATGTGCTCACAACTCCCAGTGAAGTCCAGTAGCGGTCAGTGAAGTTAATGGAAGGTATGCCCATTTACCCCAGGGCCAAAAACCAGAAAAAGGCTCTCTTACTCCACAATGAGCATGTCCCCACAAAGAGTTATTCCAGAATAGCTGGAGTGCTTTAAATTCACACCCTACCTCACTCCGGCTGGGGGAATAATTTCTCAGGTAGACAAGCCCTGCACCTTGCCAGTCCCTAGGGCCAGTGCGGGCAGGGAGGCACTGCGCAGAGCTTCACACTCCCCTCGTTCCCCTTCCCAGGGCAGTTAAACCGCAGAGACCCCCACGGAGGAGGAGGGAAGCTCAGCCTGATGCTATCAGCTCTCTCTTCTGAGCTGCTCACTCGGCCCTTTGCTTACTGCCCGCCCCAGGCGGTCTGGCCCTGTCTGGGCGCCAGGGGCGGTACTGTGCCAGTAGCGCATGGGGATGGGGGTGCCACTTGGCAGGGAGGTCTCCTGGGCAGGGCGCTGACTTGGGAGGCTGGTACCCGTGGAGGGGCCCCCTGGCTGCAGCCCCCCGTGGGAACAGACGCCCCCCGCTGGGGGATGAGCGCCCAAGGGCGAGGGGAGTCCCAGGCGGAGGGGCTGGCACCGGGAGGTGCGGGACCCTACCTGACACGGAGAGTCCCCGGGCGCTGCAGGGGGGCGGGAGGCAGAGTCCCCGGCCAGTGCCCCGCGGGGGGGGGGTGAAGCCGGAACTCCATCACAGTGCCGTATGACGTCACCCCGCGGCGCTGTGAATCATGCTAATGTCACGCAAATCCCCCCCGGGGACCCGGAAGCGGCGGGCGCGGGGGCAGCAGAGGCCATGAGCCGCGGGAGGGGCGGAGCCTGCGGGTGAGAGGGGCGGAGATCGACCCCCAGGGGGCGGGGCAGGGCAGGGCCTGGGGCAGCTCTCCCCATGGAGCTGGCAGGGTTGAAGATGTATAGGGGGAAGCTCTCTGAAGGCGGCTGGTGTGGTTATGGGTGCACGTGGGGCAGCTCTCCCCATGGGGCTGGCGGGGTTATGGGTGCACATGGGGCAGCTCTCCCCATGGGGCTGGCGGGGTTATGGGTGCACATGGGGCAGCTCTCCCCATGGGGCTGGCGGGGTTATGGGTGCACATGGGGCAGCTCTCCCCATGGGGCTGGCAGGGTTTGGATTGCATAGGGGGCAGCTCTCCCCATGGAGCTGGTGGGGTTGAAGATGCATAGGGGAAAGCTCTCCCCATGGGGCTGGCAGGGTTGGGGTGCATAAAGGGCAGCTCTCCCAAGGCGGTTGGTGAGGTTATGGGTGCACATGGGACAGCTCTCCCGGTGGGGCTGGCAGGATTTGGATTGCATAGGGGGCAGCTCTCCCCATGGAGCTGGTGGGGTTGAAGATGCATAGGGGGCAGCTCTCCCCATGGAGCTGGTGGGGTTGAAGATGCATAGGGGGCAGCTCTCCCCATGAAGCTGGTGGAGTTGGGAATGCCACTGCTAACACCATTTTAACTGTGGCAGCAATGTCAGAAGCTAAAGTGTAGATGGGCCACCAGCATTTTTAACACCTGTCAGCTGGATCTACTGTAAGAAGGGTTATGTGTGATGGTGTTAATATGCCACCAGTGCTGTCTACATGAGGACTTCCAACATTGCTACCACTGGTGGAACAGAACACATGGCACTGGAGGGATATTTTTGGAAAAATGATCTAGTTTGGATAGGGCCTTTGTGAAACTGATTTCTGTAAGAAATAATAAAAAACCCACCCTTTTTATTTCCAAGAGCTAATTCATTTCAATCTGCTTAGTTCTCAGAGGGGAAAAAGTTATAGTTGGAAGAAGATGTCAGTAGCAGAAAGAAAGAAACAAATGAGCCCTCCTGAATGTTTTCATTGTCACTACTTGAAAAGGGAGGATGGTATCCCCTTAACAAACACAAATGACATTAAGCAGTTGAATGAGGATAGAGACAATGCTTAAAATGTGTGTGTGGGGTGACCCACAAGGGGTTGCAGGCAGGGTGGCCTCTCGCACATTCGCAAAATGCCAGACATTCTGGTACTTCCAGAAACAGTGGGCCTGTTGCTGCCATAACCTTGCACACATGGTGCATGGGAGGTCATGCCACGTGGGGGGGCCATTTGGAAGAGCATGCTGCCCTGCCTCCGCTGGTGTGACCTCGCACACACAGTGTGTGCAAGGTCATGCTGGTTGGGGCAGAGTGGCATGCTGTCAATTATGGTGTTGCCTGTCTGATACTGGACAAAACCACATCTGGTTTTGCCTCAGTATTGGATGGGGGACAGACAGTACAAAAGCAGGACTGTCCAGTTGAAAAGCAGATGAGTGGCCTGCCTAGTTGCAGGCCAGGCAAAAAAATTACTTTTTAATTGTGCCAGGTTGCTGAGGCACACATTTTAAGCACTGCCTTACCAAAGCTGCTGCTCCCAGATTAGAATAGACCGCTCAGTTTTTTCAGACTGAATATAGATTAATTCTCTCATCTGATTCTTATTATTTCACTTGTCTTTAAATGGGAGCTGCTGATGCTTCACAAGATGGCGGAAGAACTAGATGACCAGATCTTTTATGTTTCCATCTCTATGTAAAGCTGTGTAGTTATGCAGTAGCCTATGAATCCTCTGCCAGATTTCTGCATCTCTTGCAACCTGGTGGTGATAGTGGTGTTATTTTTCTTCTTTTGCCAACAGTGAAAGAACCCTAGCTCTTTAGGGCAGACATCTTTGTGTTGTGTTTGTACAGCACAGTGGGGTCCTGGTCCACTACCACTACCAAAATACAAATTAACAATCACAATAATATCACTAGGGCTCTGAAAATCTATAAAAAGACACAGAGCCCTACTCTGTCTGAAAGAGGTGCCCTGAGGGCTCCATCTCTCTTTATCTTTCCCAATAATCATAGAAACCCTATTGAATACATTGTGAGGAGTGGATGAATTAGTCAGGTATCTTATTTAATTATTTGACATCTCTACAAAGGTCAGATTTTTTTCCATCAGTGGCATCAACCTCCCTGTTCCAAGGAGTTATTTTTTCAAAGCCTCTTCTAATATGTTTATATTGTAGGTGCTATGTCCAGCAAGAACTCAGCATGGTGTGACGTTGCAAATGAATCTGATTTTTATTCTTGTTCCTGGGAAGCAAGCTTTTCACATAGTCATTGTAGCTGCAAAGGTAAAATGAAAGGCTATAGAACCTTGTCTAAACTTTCAGGAGTGTTTTAGTTTGAAGAATAAATAGTGAATTATTAAAGAAATGAATATGAATCTGTTTCTCTCTGGTGAATTTGTTGCGGATACTTTATAGCAAGGATTCTCAAACTTCATTGCACCACGACCCCCTTCTGACAACAAAAATTACTACGTGACCCCTGGAGGGGGGACCGAAGCCTGAGCCCTGCCGCCCCAGGTGAAGGGGACCAAAGCCCATGCCGCACTGCCCCGGGGGGGGGGAGAGAGGGGGAGCAAAGCCGAAGCCAAAGGGCTTCAGCCCCAGGCAGGGGGACAGTAACCTGAGCCCCGCCACCCAGGGCTGAAATCCTTGGGCTTTGGCCCCGAGCAGTAGGGCTTGGGCTGTGGTCTTGGACCCCATCAAGTCTAAGCCAGCTCTGGTGACCCTATTAAAACGGGTTCCCGACCCACTTTGGGGTTCCGACCCACAGTTTGAGAACCGCTGCTTTATAGTAACATATCTTGCCATTAGTTAGTATTGTAAACGATGATGATTCCTTGTGATATATTTTGTAAGTGTTCTATTGTAAAGAATCATTTTTAGTTGAAAATAACTTCTAAGTGTTTCCTCTCTAGATTTAACTGGTTCTGACAGTGAAAGTGATCTTCATACTTACATTGATATAAAGGATCAGTGCCATTCACTGGGAGAAGAGAGGGAAAGAAGCAAAAGAACCAATGACTTGACAGAAGCTCTTCTGGTCTCAGGAAACAATCAGACCAACAGAAAAAATAACGGCAGGGACTATCTTTTACTACAAGGGAAAAAATCACAACATTCTAGGAGCAGCCAAAAAGAAAAGGTACCAAAATCCATACCACCTTCTACATTTAACAGAAATCAGACAATTGATCACCCATCTGCAAGTTGTTCAGCAAGAGTGCTTCAGTCAAGGTCTGCCTTATCATCTCGAAAAGATTTACTTTCCAAAAGTGAACCCTCCCAGCTCTTCAGTACTGAGCACCCAATACAGGAGCCAGCCTTTTTCACAATTAAGAAAGCTTACATAGTTAATAAGCTACATCAAAAGCACCTGTCAGCTGATTCTCCTCCAACCTCAAAGTGCAATAAAGCTGTGCAGGCTTCTTTCACTTGTAGAGGGGAAGACCCTGGTGAATGTATTGTTTGTGAATGTTCAAAACAGTCACTGTTAAAGGAAGAGGGAAACAGAAAACTAGACAAGAAGAAAGTTGCTGTGTTTCATAACACTGAAAGTATTGCCCATCAAGATTTATCTTCTGGTGAACTGGTGAATGGACATTTACATTGTCCGTTGGAAGCAGTGACTGATAAACCTGTCAAAGCACAGACCTCCAAGCATTGGTGTTTACCCATTAGTTCATCAACTTTTGTTATATCTCTAGCATTGGAAGCAGGTTACTCAGTTCCATCTGTTTCATTAGCAGGAGCTGAAACAAAATATAGTAGTTCTTCAAAGGTTAGGAAAGTCAGAGGCGATGCAAGTAGACCTGTCTTAGCTTTCAAACTTAAAGAACCTGAGCTTAACCAATATTTTAACAAGTTGTGTATTTCTATAGTTCCAAATCCTGCGCACTTAGAAACTGACACTCAAAAGCAAGCTATTCCGTTTACTGGGCAGGTAGGACTCCAACAAGTCCCAGGTCCTGAAATCAATCAGCCGCTGGAAACGCAGACAGATTCATCTGATTCTGACATTCCCGGAGCTCAGATAGAACAAGCATCTTCTATATTTAAACCCCCATCTGCCAAGCAGTTCTTTGTGTCCTCTGAAGATACACAAGATACAGTTTGGCCTTCTACCTCTTATAGTGTTCAAAAATTTCCCTACAGAAAAGGGATATCCATTAAAGAGCCCTTTGAAGAGCAGAAACATCAATTAAAAGTCTGCAGATCCATAAGACATCCTATTGTGTCTACCAAACCCAAAGAAGCTCAAAGAGATCTAAGATTTATAAACAAACCCTACATCTCTTCCAACCTTGACAACACAAAGACTTTGGATATTGAACCTTTTAAGCAAAAATCTGGTCACTACAAAATTGTGAAAGAAACAGAAACAGGTAAATTGAATAACGTGCCCTTATCAGAAGCTGTTAAGTGTCATTGCAGTCCTCTATCTAACTTGAGTGTCAACCTATATCCAAAGCGGACATATTCTGGCATTGAGAAATCCCTGAGCATTAACAGAAAACCATCCAAAAGAGGTGGTGTAACACATAGACTTTCTGCACAGTCTCTGCTAAGTGATAGAGACAGTACTGAGGAGACCCAATACATCTCTCCTGCCAAAAGAAAAAAGGATTTGAAGATGCAGAGCATTCTGAACTTTTGTTTTGGGTGGCCGGGGGCACAAAAGAAACATGAGAGGTCACCATATAAAGGGGAGCTCTCTTACACTGCAGATGATCCAGAAATAAAAGAGGAAGGTCTTTTGAGCCAACCTTTACCAGCTGAGAGGAGGAGTCTGACTGCCCCATGTCTGCAAGATGAAAGAGCA